TTATAAAACAATAAATAAAAACAGAATTCATAATTGTGCATACTCAACAATACACATATTTCTCTTTAATGGATTAATTTCTATGATTAATTTACTCACATAGGCATCACGGCAACAATTTGTGCAATAATTGTATGAATGTTGGACCACTTAGCCATCAATTCTTCTGGTGGTTGATCATCCCAATTTGTACCATCAACTGTAAATTGACAAATATTATGCAACATAAGTAAATGGTTTTTTTTCTTCTTTTACTAGTTTGTATAACTGCATGTTCTGTTTTTAGGAATCATTGAAAACCTGCGCTTCGGTGTTCACCGAGCACATGCCGAATGAATTCCTTTTAATTTTTTTTGAATAAACTGATTTCTTTCTTTCAAATATGATGGAATATTTATTTTAAAGTTATTGAAGTACATATTGCTGATAGAAGTTGACTATGGCTTAGACACTCTAACCTTAGGGTAGGCTCCGAACCCCTCAGTGGGGATGTATAGTGAGCTGGTGATGATAATGATATATTGCACAAGTTTTAGAAATGGTATTGCACAACTCTTCAATTTTATATGTAATGTTAGTAATGAAATATTAAATAAAAAACATACCTTTAAATAACTTAACCAAGTTAGTCATAACTCTAGGGCAATGGTATGTATGAGCAGTTACAAGATTAAGTACAAATCGACTGTACATTTCCACAAACTTCTCCCCTCTACCGGCCCACTCCACATTGCACAAAACATCAACGAAATGCTTCAGTTCCCTTCCAAGAAGAACGACGGAAGCTAAACAATCTTCTAGCAGTACTTGATAGTTGTCATCATTTATAGGAAATTCCTCTAATACTTTGACGAGATCATGGTATGGACCAACATTACTGTTCCTTGTGTAATTTACTAGAACTTGCTCTATTTGACCTTTTTTAAACGACAATTTCATCCGAGCCTGAGCATTTTGCCGGTCTAATGTTTTCCGCATCAAAGCGGCAACATTTTTCCGAGTTATCATTTCCATTATTTCTTAAGAGCTGCAGATACGTCCTTTAAATACGCAATAATTTCTGGCTGACGTAGCAATTCTGCTTTCTTGTGATTTAAAACTTCTCGTAAAACAGTACTGCTGTCTTCAACAGCTGAAGTACCTTGTGTGCTTTGTTCGAAACTTGTACTAGGTTTAGGGTAACTTATACTAGATTCTGATGTTTCAGCACTTCTTTTATCCTTTAAGTATGATTGTAACCTCTCCAGAACTATTTTACTATCACCTTCTTTCTTCTCTGTACTATAACCTTCTTTGGACATCGCACAATATTAATTTTACATCGTGTATTGGTTGTACACTAAAAAGCTAACTGATTAGAATATCGATAATAATCTTACAACGTTTTAGAAGGAAATTGATAGTAAATCACAATTTAGTAATTCTTTTAAAAACAACACGTGCCCAACTTATTGTGCGCGGAACTTTAAGAAAAATTTTAAAACTGGCTGACTGACAGATTGACAGATTTTGTCAAATGTCACGCAACAAAAATGCCACCTGTTTTACCAAAGAGTAAATAACCAGTTCTATTAAATGCGTAAACCGTTTTTGGATCTCGCTTTCTTCGAGAACACTTACTTTTAATGGTTTTAAGGGTATATAGAACATGAATCAAATAGTTTGAAAACATTTAATACCATTGAGGTGGTTTTGTAAATAAATCGGTAAATTACTGTCATCCTTCAAACAATCTGTTTTCCAAAGAACAACACTTATTATCAAATGTCTTATCTGTGGCGTTTCACAATTTCTCATTTTATTTTTCTCAATGAGTTTGGGAGGGGTACGGTGCGTGTGTACAACTAATTCCGGATTAATCGTTTATTTTATTTTATTATTGTCAGCGTGTACGATGTGTTATTGTGAAAATGTGTTAACCTGTTTAAATAGCGAGTAAGGTCACATACTCAGTTTCTCTCCAGTATTTGCAATAATCATGCAAAATGGCCAACGATTTGTGGTCATGTTACTGTTGTACAGAAGCACTGACATGTTGGTTGCGCTTAAAACTATCACCTGAGGAGATAGAGCAACGTTACAGAAGTAAAGAGATCGACAGAATATTGGAGAAGGACAAGCAGACTTTACGACGACAGGTCAAACTTTTGCTACTCGGTGCAGGTGAAAGCGGAAAATCAACATTCCTGAAACAGATGAGAATAATACACAGAGTTAAGTTTGAGCCGGAACTAGTGCGCGAATACCAACATGTGATTTATCAGAACATAGTGAAGGGTATACAAGTGCTAGTGGATGCGCGGGACAAACTCGCGATCCCGTGGGAAAATCCTAGGAACCTCGACATTGGGCAGCAAGCTTTGCACTTCAATAGTAGTGCTTCACTCGACAGTCTTCTGTTCATGCACTACGCGCCACACATACACTCCCTGTGGCTAGACAGAGCCATAAAAAGGGCATACGATAGGCGGAGAGAGTTCCAACTGGTGAGTGTCTGTCATGTTTGCAATCTAAACAATACTTGAGTAACACTTTTCTTTGTCTTATCTGTCCCAATATTTGTCTGAGTTTGTTTTTGATAAGCAATATTTACACACCATTATTGACGATTTTACATACACAGGTCTTATTGTTGCTTTAACTAAACACCAGTATAATAGTGAAGTTTGTACAACAAATATATTATTGCATACTTTTCTTGTATATGTAATTGCATTATGTTTTCAAATGATTTTTTTCAATATAATCCTCTCAAATTAGTAGTGTAAAATTTCATATAGTGCATAATTACTAACACCAAGTTATATTTTGATTTAGAAACTAAATTGACATATACTTTACTGGTATATGCCTTCAAGTGTTACATTCATTTTAAATAAAATTTTTGTTATTTGTAGACCATCCTTTGTGTTTGAAACAAAAACTTGTTTTTGTGTATTTGTGTGATGGATTGTTAATTAAAAGTAATAAAACAATGCAAATACATGCAATAATGCACACATTTTTTCATGCAGATTTATTGTTGAGAACACTGTCTGCTTGTAAATTTATTTTATTACAAGCTCGCTTGTGGCCTCCCCTGCATGAAATTATAAAAACTTCATTTTGTTTACATTTGTGAAATTGTCAATTGTTAAAAATAATCTTTGACATAAAATAACAATTACAGAATACCATGGCAACCTTGCTCCCTTAATGTTGTCAGTTTGTATTTTCTATTCCTTTCTCGCATGACAATTTTTTTCTAAATTTGGGAGTAAATCCTAAGTTTAATATGACAACATACAGACTAAAGCTTGTCGTAAGTGTAGGGCTTTTAAGAAAAAGGGATTGTTCAAAAGTATACTGTGATTGCTAACATCCTATATAAATAAGTAGTGTGTGTTTATGCTTTATTCTATTAATATAGAGTATAGATAGATATAGATGTGCCATGAAAATGGTAAAATAAGCCTGATGTAAAATAAACTAAATCAAACTGTTTCACAATATACTAGTATCTGATATATGTTGTAATTGTAAAGTTGTAAATGAGATAAATGTGATATTAATTATTATCATATAGCATTAGTCATAGCTTTATTTCATGTTACGACATGCTTCACTTATCAAGCTGTATGTTGATTCTAAGTACACTTGTGAACAGCAAGCAACTGTTTTCTAAGTAAAGTACACCCAAGACTAAGATTAATTAATTAGCAAATATAGGTTTCTAACTTTTGCACGCGACTTCTTCCACATGAAATTAAAATATAGCCTATGTTACAGTGAAATTACCTTTTTAAGTTGTTTTTGAGTTATTTCAATATATAAAAATGTGAATCTTTCCTCTTTGTAATATTAGTACATTTTGTATATTCAATATTCTTGATGCTGTTACCTAACATTTTTTTCATTTTTTGGTATTTCCCATATTCATAGTTTTTTTAAGCATGTTTCTAATTAATTACTTTTTTGTATTGACTTGTGGAATAAGTCCATTCGGCAACCGGGTTTTTGTTTGTTGCCCTATCTATCGAATGCTAAAACACCCATGTGCAAAATCATTTTTCGTATTTTCAAAAAGTGTTATTTGGTCGACAGTACATCTGTACTGAAATATATTTCACCAATAGAAACCTGATGTAACATGCAATTGCGTACTATAAGTTTCCCTGCCAACCCATTAAGTTGATAGTTAGAACTCATTCAATTATTTTATACTAATTATTACGGGTCGTGCGCTCATTAGCTTTGTTGTATCACACACCGACACGCCGTTGTTATTCCGTGCAGTATTTGTGAGACTTCCTTCGAAAACGGAAGTGTATTAGTGACGCTGTTTCGTCCATTCATAGCTCAATATAATGTCAATTTAAAAATTATTTACTTCACTTATTAGTCCGACAAACACTAGCTGATGCCCGCAAATCCGTTTGTCAACAAAAAACAATTAGTAGTCTTTGTGTTCTTGTAGATTATGTTTTACTATGCCAAATGTCGGCAATATCCCTTTAGTTGTTCAACAGACATGTAGAATCAAACATCCTTTCAAACTTTCCTGTTTAAAATATTAGTAAGATTAAAGTTTTCTGAATTCAATTTGCAAATCCATAAGCAACAGGTGTTGGGTTTAAACAATAATTATCAGCTGACTGTGGTCATTAAAATCCGGAAATGTTTTACGAATAAGTCTTAAATAGAACAAAGAATTGTTTTTGCTCTTGTACTATACAATATTTTTAACCATAAAAACATATGAAATGTTAAAAACGATTACAAGTGATCACACTTTTCCCTCGAGCAGTCGGTAGTCGTTCATACAACGGCCGATCACGATTTTTAATGTCTAATCTCTTCATAAACGTGTGTACTTTGAACCATATTGTGCAATGTATAGTTATGCATTCGTATCCGTTTATTTGTGCTTGTTCGTGTTATTTTTTTGTTGATAGCATTACTGTGTATTATAGTTTTTTGTACTGTATTACTGTATTTTTTATAGTTAACTATATTTTGCCCGCTACTTCGTGTGCTTCTTCTTCTTCTTTCTTCGTTCTTCCAAATTATGCTCTACATCTATGCCAAACATCGTTATCTGTTCAGCCGTTAAGGCAACAAACTCTAACCAACATCCATCCAAACTTTCGCATTTATAATATTAGCATGATTTCAATTCATTATTATATATGTGTAAAAAAGGTTTATCTCATAATTTACTTCAATAAATAGTTATAGTTCATATAACGATTCTATTTATAATGTAAGGATTACTTCTTTTTGGAATTAGATATTTAGCCTTCCGAGTTCTTAGTCGCTTCTTAAAATATTGTTTAAAATTTAGTCGTCTTTTAACAGTGCGATCTCTTTTATGTGTTTCAAAACACTTTAGTAAATTAGTTCTCCCGATGTTGACATTTTTCCGGATCTCGAGTCGAAATTGGTACACGGTTACGTTTATGGTAAAGCCGCGGCTTGCATGTGGTAATGTGCGTACAGCACGAATGCTAATTGCATTGCCCGACGCGATGACATGATTTTGCATCGCATATTTGTGGACAAAGAAATACTACGTCACCATAAGTGTGGTCAGGGTTGGCAATTTTATAACTAACTAGCTTTCGCCCGCGTGGGATTAAAAAAACAAGAGTAGCCTATGTGTTCTTCCAGACGTTTTATATCTATACCAAATATTAAGATCCGTTCAATCGTTTAGGCCACAAGTTTCGACATCCATTTATCTAAACTTTCTCATTTATAATATTAACAAGTTTTTAAGGCAATTAATAAATATAGTATGCATGTATCATTTATACTTCTTAAGGATTAAGCATTGGTAAATAAAAAATACCTGTGGTGTATAAAATTATGGCATTTTAATGCTAAAAAAGTGATGACGTTTTTAGTATTTTATGTTACTTAACGTCAAGATCGGATTAAAATGTTTCTTGTTAAAAGTTTTGAAAGTGGCAGCCCTAACTGTACGTAAACCACACGCCTATTGCAATGGTGTAAAATCCATATGCAAATATGTTTTGATACTAGATATAGAGATTTGAATTGGACGCGATCCATTCGTTGCTTGGCTATGAATAAAAAGCTTTTTACCATTGTAAACACTTTGTTGCAAAATACACCTAGACAATTTATTTATATGTTAACCTATCATCTTGCTAGAGTAGGACCATCACTATCTTTTATTGGTCAAGTAAACATTACATTATCTGGTATATCATTGATCTTTATAGTAAAATGGGTCATTCAATTGCCCAGCAACTGTCATGCTAGCATTATATCATAAACCTAATGTTTAACCACAAGATGTGTTGATCGGGCCACACGCAAGTTATATAATACTTAGGTATCCGGCATAGTTTACATCGTGCTCTCGATCTTGCTGCGGTGATTTTATGCTGGCATTTAAGTTATTTAATTGCCCGCCTTGGGCAATTTTGAATCGACTCCAGTTATAATGCAGCTTGCAAACCTACAGGTCGAAAGGACCGGAAATTTAAAATTATAGTGGTTGTAGGCGGGTACAACTTTGAACATTAAGGAATGTTAACATTTAAAATTTGAGTACTGAATGGTATAGGAATGATACTAGAACATAATCTCAATGTTTACAAATTATATAAAGTAAAAATTACTGTAAGCAAGAATAAGCCGAGTCTTTTTTTTTACATTTTATTTCAAGGGGATTCTCTATTCGTCTATAATGTTCGTTTTCTAGCTTTCCTTTCAAACAAAGTCCTTTAAAACATCTTTAAATGACACGATGTTGTTTTTAACTAAATCATACTTTAATTTGCAGTAAAGAAAAGAATAGAGTTATTCATTTTATATTGTTTTAAAGATATTCTAGATTCTTTTATTCAAACACTTTCAAATGTGCGTTATTTTTTTCACAGACTACATTGCTTATATATCTTTCCGACTTAAAATTATTGCATTTACATCTTATTTCGTTTCCCCTTTCATTTGAAACAAAAAATGCGTATTTCTTTAAACAGAAAGCATGGTGATTACGTAATCTATGATTTGAAAAATGAAAGTACATACTCGCAGCAACATCGGAACGGATGCGAAATTGCGTCAGACAGTTTACGTCTCGAATGCCTAGACCGTATATTTTTATCTTAATTAAGCTCAAATATAGGTGTGCAGGTTTCCAGGAACGAAGCGGCCGACCGTTTCGCTATTAGACAAGGTGTAGCTTCCGTGAATTTGTTTTTAAAAAAGGAGTTTATGCGCGATTATCTCGACCCGTGTTGTGTTGTACCCATTAGCGGTACCGGCACGCAATTAAGTGTCCACACTCATGTTTGCGTCGAATTTAAGAAAAAAACTAAAGAGATATTTAATTGGACCAATTCTTTACGCCGCTGGCATTGGTGAGCCGATTGAGGTTATTTGGGATAACAGTCTGGTTTCGTAAATTTTGTTTTCGATCCAGAAAAGCAGGTTTGCATATAAATGCTTTTAAAGTAAAGGAGTAATGTATAAA